CATTAGCCACACCTTTGCTTTCTGGACTCATGCTGTTTCTGATTCTCAAGGAGTCATTCCTGGGAGGAATGTGAAAATATGTACTGTATTGTACAAACGAGCCTGTTCCAGGGGCAGGAACCAAGTCAATTTGTCCCCACCAAGTCCATGCTCACTGGCAGTAAGTGGATCTGGGCTCCAGGCTAGCCTGGTCTACAGAGAAAGTTCTAGGACAGCTAGGAAAACAAAGAGAAACCCTGTCTGGGAAATAAACAAACAATTCACAAAACCAAAACCTTGCAGCTTTGTATCTGGCATCTGCAGCTTGTGGTGGTATCACCTGGGTCCCTAAGGGTTTGGGTACCCCCACCTCTCTGGCTCTGCTACCTGCAGTGTATATATGTTAGCTCCTGGGCTGCCTCTGCTTGATAAGGGCAGTTCACTCCAGCAGAGGTATCATGTTTCTGGCATCTTCAACATCCTGGGGGCTGCACTGCACCTCAGGTCTTATCCTCATAGCTTTATACACAGTGTGCACTGGAGCTCCATGCAGGGAACCTGACCCTGGTGCACATTGCCTAGACTCAGCAGCTTCCTAGAGACTTGGTGCAAGCCTCCATGACCCTGTCGTTAGGTCTAAAGGAGACTCCAATCCCCTAAACTCCAAAAGGCAGTCCAAATATCTAGAAATGGGCTCGACTTGGATGACCGGATTATTGGAGGATTTCTTAGATAAAAGCCAGCATTCCTGAGGAACTTGAAAAGCTGGTTCCCCTTCTACCAGAAGGAGTCATTTCTTTAACTTCTGGCAGAAAGGACAAACGGCTACCTGTAGTACCTTTTAGAATACCAAAGTATAAGCTGGCCTCCATGTACCCTTAGTGTCACAAGCATGTGTTACACAAAGTCCATGCTAACATCCTAGCTCTTCTGACCTCCTTCCCTACCCTAGATTCCTTCCAGCTCATGGGCTCCTCTCTCCCTAACCTCCAGCTACTTATTCTCCTGGTAAGCCTGCTGTTTTAGCTATTCCTTTGCTCTCTGTGTGTCTTAGTTTGGGTTTTTATCGCTGTGAAGAGACACAATGGCCAAGGTAACTTTTATAAAGGAAAACATATAACCGAAGCTAGCTTTCAGTTCATGGTGGGAAACCACTGGCACGCAGGCAGACATGGTGACGGGGAAGGAGGTGAGAGTTCTACAACCTGTTCTGCAGGCAGCAGGAGCTACACTGGGAGTAGCTTGAGCATATAAGACCTTGAGCCCGCTTCCACGGTGACACGTTTCCTCCAACAAGGCCCCACTTCTTAATAGTTCCACTCTTTCCGGCCAGGCATTCAACCACACTGTTTATGCAGGTCATTCCTATTCAAACTACCACACTGTCTCCCTCCTCCCCCTCTCTCTTTCTCTGCTCTGCTCCTGCTTCTCTCCAGGCCAGATCTGGTCTGCTGCCCAAGTTGACTCTACTTTCACTGCTCTGGACTCTGACACTTGTGTCCAGCTGTTCTACCTATCATATCTACAATAAAAACCTTCCCCTCAACATGACCATGGAGTGGCCATGTTGTCAGTTTATATACCTGTAACTTTAGTACTCTATATGTCTGCAACATTAGTACTGTGCAGACAGCTCCCTGGGACCGCAGTTGAGTGGCCTCTCTGTGCTTGAGAAGTTAGACTTGGGAAAAGTTTTCTTAGATGGTACTATTGGAGCAAGGCATCCTGGAGCCTCCAATGGGCAGAGGCTACCGTGTTATTGAACATTCCTATTGTTCCTGGACAGGGATGTAGGCTTCCATGACACAGTGTACAATTAAATTTTAACTTGACCACGATCTTCACTTTGCAGCCGCTCTCTTTGTTATTTACAACCGCGTCCCGATCAAAACGCACACTCCCACGTCTTTCCACCGAGGACTCTCAGCGCAAACCTGGCTGCTAGAAGTGAGCAATAACTGTGCCACAGACTGATTTAGATGTTCTCTTGAGTTTCCTTTCATCAAACAAAATTAGTCCATTATTTTAAATCTGAGCATTTCTCAGATTTTCAGGATATAGGCAGATGCAGCCAGATTCTTTGCCACACTACAACACAAATAGCCTCTGGTCCATTTCCCAAAAGAACCCTTGTTTTTCTCTGAAACTTCATGGGCAGAGTGAACACTGTGCCCCTTTCTGAACTTCCTAGCTCCCACTGGAATACTCTCTTGAGTTCCGTATACGGTACTTAAAGCCTCGCCAGCCCATCGCTCCAAACTATTCCCCATTCTTCTTGCAAACTGATTGTGAAACCCAAGAGCCACATGGTTCCAGCTTTTCTAGATTGTTTCTTTCATTGCTGTGACAGAATATGTCACCCAGCAACTTAAGAGAAGGTTTATTCTGCTCACAATTAGAGAGAAGAGCACATGACATACATACATCATGGGAAGGAAGCCATGCTGGGAGTATCTCTGTGAGGGCAGACATTTGCAGCAGCTACTTAGTACATGCCACCCACAAGGAAGCACAGAGTTCAGGGCAGAAGCTGGGTCAGATTGTAGTCCTCCAGACATCCTGCTACAGCCCTAGATCTGTCAGCTAGGGTATACATCCAGAAACTTCTACAACATCCCAAACCAGGGCCACCAGCTGAGGACCAAGTGTTCAAACACATGAAGTCTGTGGGAGACATTCACACTCAAACCATAATAATCCGTGTACTGGAAAGTGACAAAACAAGACCTACTTCACATTCTGAAGAGGCAAAGTTGCAAGTACTAAACAAACCACAATTATGTTTACAACCAATATTATCGAAACCCACCACATTGTCTTTCAAAAAAAGCATCATGAAGAGTCAACTATAAGTTAGTTCCCAACTTTAAATAAAGAAAGTAGAAACAGATTCACAGTGGAGTAGTGGACGTAGCATTATGTTGAGAGTTGGAAACTTGTCTCCGGGCTTGTGCCTGTTTCTGTTGACCCCACCTTCTGCCATGCAATCTTACTTGTCTGGGCTTCTGGCTGAAATGAAAGAATGCTTGTTTCAACTTTGAATTAATCTCTGAGATCCCTTAGAATTCTCCAAATCTGTATGATTGAGACTTCAAGGGTTCTCGACTTGTGGGCTGTAACCCTATTGGCCAGCTTCTATCTCCAAAAGATATTTAACTTATGATTCATAAAAGTGGCAAAATTAGTTATGAGGTAGCAACAAAAATAATTTTATGGTTGGGGGTCACCACCCTGAGGAATTGTACTAAAAGTTCGAAGGTTGCATTAGGAAGGTTGAGACCACTGCTCTAAGAGGTTATGTTGAGAAACTATACCTTTGACTTGTTTTAAAACATATGGATGGTGACTTGAAAATATATTAACTACTTTTAAATTGTACATTGCTCACTTATTAAAAACAACAAAAAATTTTATGAAACACTTTCCTTCCAACCACCTCAGAAAGTTGCTTAAAATCTACAAGATTGAAACCCACCACCTAGTGGTGACGAAAGGAATTTCATGCTAGCGACAGGGACCGGATGGTTTCTCACAGCTAGCGTTCATTTCACTTTGATCTTCTCCCCACCTGACCCAGAGTAGTATTAACCACACAGAAACTCAACGAATTCTGACCTAAGACTTTATTTGACAGGGCTCTCATTATGTTGCCCAGGTTGGCCTGGAATTTGCAATCCTGCCTCTAAGCCCTCCGAACTGTTGCCATTACCAGGTGTGCACCATCATGCACAGCTGATGGTGTAGCCTTAAAAGCAATGAAACTCTGGGCGTTGAGAATTGCGGAAATCTAATTGGCTTTGAGATGGAAGATGCCTACTACTACCCGTAATCTTACCCCTATCAAGAGACCCACCAAGTCATTCTTAGGGGCAGTTACACCAGTTATCATGCCCCAGAGTGCCCTCTCTTCACAGACCCAGAACCTTTGACTTGATACACATCATGGAATCCTTGAGGTAAAGTGATGATTTTGTTTTACCTACAAAAATAATTACTTACATTTAAATATTCAGTAGGAATGCACTCTCCTTAAATTCTAAGGGTGGGAAAGAGGCCAAAGTCGTAGATAACTAGCTTGTCTTGGTAGTCATTTCCGTTTTTTTCGTTTCCTATTTCCTCCTTGCTCTTTCCCCTCTCTCTTTCAAATAAATCATGTAATTAATAGTGTTATGTTTAAACAAAACATGGCTTCCTGTGTAAGTTGGTTTTAATTATACCAGAAGGTACCTGGAAATCCTTTCTCATCAAAATGTTCCGAGTCCTTTCCTGAATTATGGATCTGGGTTATTTCTCAACATATTCTTAAGCTGTCGTTAGAAATTCATTTTCTATTAGCACGTTTTTTCTCAATTCTTTTAAAACTTTCAACTATGACCAGTCTTGCTAGTAGAGACCACCTAGGCTTTTTATTTGACCTACAACCCTTTTCTTGTTTTGTTTTTAAATTGGGGCTTATGAATACCCATAAGTATTCCGAAGTGGGCGAAGTATTCCGATAACTTAAAGCGAATTATCCACTTCACCTTTGAAAACCTCGGGGCTCAGTGCCTCCAAGGGCATCCGGGCATTTATTCCCATTTCTGCTCCTCCTCGGCGCCCCCAAGGAGGGGCGGTTTCGACCGAGAAGTTGCGAGAAGCAATGGTGCGGAACTTGCAACAGTTGGTGCGGGGCGATAGGCAGGTAGGAAGTGATAGATGGGACTAGTTTAAAACCCAAAAGCCCGGGGGAGGGCCGGGGCCGCCGAGGCTTTGCTGGAGAGCGAGGGCGGCGCCGAACCGGGCGCCCGCGTAGGAAGGCGCAGTTCCGGGGCTGCCGGGGCGTGGGACGCGGAGCTGGTGCGCGGTGACGCCGGGCGGAAGGGAGGAGGAGCGGGCCGCCCCGGGGCCACGGAGAGGTGAGCGCAGCCTTGCCCCCGCGCCGCCCCCGGCGGGAGGCGCGACGCCTAGGCCACGGGTGCGTGCGCGGCCCCGGGCGACGCGGCTGGGCGTGCGCGGGGCCGCGGCGGAGGCAGGGCCGGGCGGGCGGCAGAAGATGGCGAGGGTGTGTAGGCGGCAGCAATGTTCCGTTGAGAGACGCGGCTTTCGGCAAGAACTGGACTCGTGGCGCCACAAGCTCATCCACTGTGTAGGTGAGGCTCTCCACCGGTGCCGGAGCCACTCGGCCGCCGGCCGCCCGTGCGTGGGAGGGAACGGGGCAGCGTCCGCCGCTCTCCGGCCCCGCGCGCCCTCCCGGGCTCGGCCCCC